ATTAAGAGGAAAACCCATCCTGAAAAGTATCTGAGGTAATTCCATCTTCAATCATAACTTGAGTGTGTTTATACCTAGAAAAAAAAGACAAATTCTCTAATTTTTATTAGAATTCTGGGTGCATAACTCAGAATCTTTAGGTGGCCTGCTCAGGCATAGCCTCTCACAGCATCCCAGCTTCATCTACCAATGTTATGGCATTACAGAGGTACCACTCAAGCACTTGTATTATTTCTATCATCCCTGATGCCCTCCCTTTCACTTTCCCCATGCTTTCCTTTCTCCAGTCCTGGCTTGCCTCACTCTCTCTCTCACCACCCCGCCCCACTCCCCAATCCTCTGCCTTTCTTGACACTTCCCTTAGCTGTCCTACTACAGCAAGGAACTTGTGTAAAAGGTGGAGAACACGTTTTCACAGTTCTTGTTGAACCATTAAATTCTTCCTTCTCTTCTAACTCTATCTCTCCTTGCTGGCCTGATGAACTCCATTTCATAGTATTTTTGAAATTGGATTTCCTGATTCCTGTGAGTTCAGGAAACAGACACAGTTCCACACTATTATTATTATTCCCCAAACATAGAACAGGCTTGGCTTCTGGCTTTTTCCACTGAGCAGGGAGATTATTACAACTGATGATCTTCTGGGATTGATATAAGATGGCATAGTCAATCACAAATCTATATCTGATCCAGGGATGGAAAGCTCCAGGATATATGTGCAGGGTACCACACTCAATTTAAAGGGAAAAAGGCAGGGCCTAGTGAGAAGCTGACTCAGTGAATGATGAGGGGGGGAAATAGTATAATGGGGAAAGAAGAGCTGGGATGAGGAAAGGTTGAAAAGAGGGTGAAATAAGAACTTTATCGCTCTGAAATGGCACCATTCAGACCCATTCTCAAATGTTTTGCTGAAAAACAGAAAAGTGACTAAGGTTGAAGGAAAAAGAGGAAGATGGGAGTAACTATTTATTAAACAACAATTAAAAACAATCTGAGTTTATCTAGCATGATAGAAAATCTAGCTACTTAAAACTTTTCTGTTACCTTTGTTTTATAATCCAGTTCAGAATGAATATGTCCACTCCAGTCATTGTTGTAACATTTGGTGTAAGAAAAATGTCCATATTAGAATGATGGAAGCAAAAACATTACCGCTCAGCCCACAATAATAAAGAAAGTGATATATGATTATTTTAACATAGACACAATGCTTATAACCTCTTGATGCAATTCTTATATTGCATCATAAAATCATTTGTGTAACAGGCAAGGAACTGAATACAAGTGTCTTGTATTCAGAGCAGTTTATCTGCTCTTTAGTTGTCTGAATGGAAGAGTTTCCATTTCCTCAGAAAGTAGCATAAGATTAAATAATATGCAGAGGAGGGATTGTTATAATAGCAATAGCACTTACTTAAATATTGCTTCATAGTGCTTTTACAGCCCCCTCTAAGCCAGTGGTCCCCAACCCCCGGTCCGCGGACCGGTGCCGGGCCGTGGAGTACCTGGCACCGGGCCGCG